TTACTGACCTCTGTCATCATTTTAAGTGGGGGAACTTGCACAATCGGTGGCTGACTAAATACTTTTTTGCCCCACTGTATATATATATATATACTGTAGGACAGCTTCTGAGTGCATCCTGTGGAGTGCGTGTTTAAGTGTTGCTCAAATCTTCAAGTGCAGTTATGAATGTGACTGAAAAGGCACATATAAACATCTTACATGAAACTACACTGTAATTTCTATAAAGTCATAGATTATTTGAATAACAGTAAATATGACTAAATTTTCAGCACTATCATCCCAGAGAGACTGGATCCTTTCATCAATAAGTATGCAGAACACACTCATGATAAATGGGCTTTTGAAAAGGTCAGTAATAAGGGAATAATGTAAGCAATAATGTTTTTTAAAGTGTTGCTTGTAATAATTGCTTAAATAATTTTTCAGATTCAGAACAACTGGACGTATGGAGAGGTGCTAGATGAGAATGCTAAGACTCACCCGATGCTCCGGCCATACAAAACATTCTCTGAAAAGGTAATGATCTTTCACTTGTTTTAGTCTGAAGCTTGAAATCGTATCTAACCTTTTGTAGTAACCCTGTGTTCCATTAAATATGAGGATGCCAGATCTTCTTAATTAGTATTCATTACCCGTGGACCTTTTGACTATTTTTGCATGATTATTGTTATGGGCATTCATACTATAGCTTAGTTGTTAATTGTAAAGCCCTCTACCTTCTTTTCTCAGGACAAGGAGATTTATCGTTGGCCCATTAAAGAATCCATCAAAGCTATGCTAGCATGGGAGTGGACCATAGAGAAAGCAAGGGATGGAGAAGGAGAAGTCGAGAAAAAGGCCGCCGCCACCACCGCCACGCGCAAAATCTCTCAAACTGCTCAGGTAAAAGTCCATATAGAAATGTTCTGTTTTTACATAAGTGTAAAAACAGAACATTCGTGGATCGTGCAAAATGAATTTTCTCTTGGCCTAATTAAATTGGGGAAACAATGGAGTTTCTCTTTTACTGAGAAACTCAGTAAAACCTTCACATGGACACTGTTACACACAAGATCTTTTTTAAAATTGTCTTCAGGCCACTTATGATCCGAGTCACGGATACAGCCCTCAGCCAATAGACATCTCAGGAATGGCCCTCTCCAGAGAGCTGCAAGTATGTCTCTTCTGGTCAGATTTTCCCCAGCATTTATAGGTTGCTCACATACCTTTAAAGAACTAGGTAGAATAATAATTATTTTTTCTTTCCACATAGTCTATGGCTGAACAGCTAGCAGAAAACTATCACAACACCTGGGGCAGGAAGAAGAAGTTGGAGCTACAGTCCAAAGGCAAGAGTAGTTTTTATTACAGTAAACTGGGAGTTTTCTTTTTAATGATATGTTGATTTAAAAAATGACTTGTGCCCTTGCTAGGTGGTGGTACTCATCCTTTGCTCGTGCCTTATGACACATTGACGGCTAAGGAGAAGGCCAGAGACAGGGAGAAAGCCCAGGACCTGCTCAAGTTCCTCCAGCTTAATGGATATGCTGTGACAAGGTAAGCTAGAGCTCTCAGAGTTTAAGATTAGAGCTATCTGTTTTTCTCTTTCAACCCCTTTCATATTTCCTCCATGTTTTTTTCCACTACTAGAGGTCTAAAGGATATGGAACAGGACATCTCCTCCATTGAAAAGCGTTTTGCTTATGGCTTCCTTCAGAAGCTTCTTAAATGGATGGACATTGCCCAGGAATTCATCGCTCATCTTGGTACTGTGATTGAACACATAGATGATTTTTGTACTTATACTGTGTGCACTGCTGGTTAGACCAGAAATAAAGTCAGAAGTGGTTTAATTGTTATTATTATTAATTTTTTTCTAACAGAGGCTGTAGTTAGCAGCGGTAGAATGGAAAAGTCACCACACGAACAAGAAATCAAATTCTTTGCCAAGGTGAGCTTCTTTATTCGTCGTACTTTTTTCCCCGTGGATGTCAGAGGATGATAGTTGTAACAGAATCCTGTGCTGAAGTTTGTAGGGACTGAAAAAATTGCCACAATTTGTGATTTTAAGAAACGCCTTTTATTCTGTAGCTTTACTAAGCAGATACTATTTATGATTGGATATTTTATGCTGGGTTATTTTTTTATAGATCCTCTTGCCGCTGGTAAATCAGTACTTCAAGAACCACTGCCTGTACTTTCTCTCCACTCCTGCCAAAGTATTGGGCAGTGGAGGACATTCCTCAAATAAAGAGAAGGAGATGATTGCAAGGTATGTGCCATAAAACCATATATTTTTAAAAAAATCAATCTTACCTTGAATTATGTGCCCTGAAAAAATTGCCATTTCCTTTCCCTCTAGGACAGTGTGATAGTATCTGTCCTCTCCTTCCATGTCCCTCCATCTTTCTCCTGTTGTGTGATATCCATGATCTCCTTTACTTTCCTTTTGCTTTATGTGTACTTCAAACATTTTTCCTGCCTTGTTTCCCCTTACTATACTCCCTTCCTCTCTCCCTTCCTCTTTTCTCCTCCTACCTCAGTATCTTCTGTAAGTTGGCTGCTTTGGTGAGGCACAGAGTATCTCTTTTTGGTAAGGAAATTGCACGATGTCATGCCCTGTCACCATCTCTGTATTTGTTTCCCTGTGTAATTTCTCTTTATTACAGCGTTTTATTTTTTTGCTTCTTCCTCCTCCCTACCTTTACTTTACATACTAATCAAACTAATAAATCATCGTTACCTCCTCCTAACTTACCAGTTCTTCTCTTCTCTGTCTTTAGCTCAGCTTTTGCTTGGCTTTAATGTTTGCTGTAGTTTCTTTGATTTAAAAGGTATCCACAAAGTTAGCATGAATGTCTGTGACGGCGTCAGATATCCAGTGGTACTGTACTGCAGCTTTGTCGTGTGTTATCATCCTGGCTTATATGAGACAATGAAAGCTTTGTTGTCATTTTACTCCCCTTCACCACCATATGTCTTAAGCAGACTGTCATTGTTACATGGCCAGTGGACAGGTGAGCTTGTCTCACCAGCACAATATGATCTTCCACTTTAAACGTGCCTAAATAAACTCTGTGATGGTGGCATTGCACTTAAGAAACAGTTTTTTAACATCTTTTTATGCTCTTTTCTTAAATAATAATTATTGGTTGTTTCAGCTATGTATTTAACATTTGCGATTCAGAAGATTCAGACTTTACCATTGTAATGTAATTGTGAGTTTGCTCAATGTTTCCCAACAAACTGTATACAAGGTTTAGAGCTAATTGTGGCATTTGCAGTAATTTGGGCTCTTGTAGAGCTGAAGGATGGCACTGACAATGCACCTTTTTTGTTATGTTTTCAGGAACGGATGCCCCTGCAGTGGTAAACTGCCTGCACATTCTCTCACGATCACTGGATGCCAGGTAGATCACAATATACCCATAAAACATCCCTATTGGTCCACAAGCAAAGAGAAAATAGAAACAAACTGTCTGAGATTTTTAGAAAACCTTTTTCTCTGTGTATTCTTTAAGGACTGTTATGAAATCAGGCCCTGAGATTGTGAAAGCCGGCCTGCGTCAGTTCTTTGAGAGCGCTGCGGATGACATTGAGAAGATGGTTGAAAATCTAAAACTGGGCAAGGTGTCCAGTCGAAACCAGGTCAGAGAGGGTTTTCTTTCTTTTTGCTCACTAAACAAATGTGTTCATGTTTTTCTTGTGAACTGAAATCTGTATTTGTGTGTTGCTTACAGGTTAAGGGTGTCGCACAGAATATCAACTACACCACCACTGCCCTGCTGCCAGTCCTCACTTCACTGTTTGACCACATTGCCCAACACCAGTTTGGTGATGATGTCATGAGTAAGTAGAATGCTTTTGTCCTTTAAATTAACCATTAATGACTTGTTACTCTGGACCAACTCGGAGCTAATGAAGTCTCTTCTCGACACTCTCAGTGGACGACTTGCAGATATCCTGCTATCGTCTAATGTGCAGCATCTACTCTTTGGGCACTGTGAAGACTCCACATGTGGAGAAGTGAGTAGAGACATGGTCTAAAAAAAGCCTGGAACTAGTTTTACTTTTTTCATTATACTTCAGATATCATAACAAGAAACATTTATTTTTCTGTATGTGCATGTATTCATTCAAAGGTTGATTTTGCATGTGTTATTTCATACAGACATCTAATGAGTATGCGCGTTTTTTCCTTCCTTTGCAGACAGCGACCAGCTCTTGGCGAGTGTTTGGCCCACTTAGCAGCTGCTATGCCGGTAGCCTTTCTTGAACCAGTGCTAAATGAATTCAACTCATTTTCTGTTTACACGACCAAGACTCCTAGAGAGAGAGCGAGTGAGTTTTGCTGTCTTCTTTTACCTTTATGATTCATTTTTGTCATGGTCCTGGGCCATGTTGGCCCAGCATTCTTAGTTTTCTTGTATTTTTGTATTTTGTTCCTTATGCCGTGGTTCCTAGGTTCTGTTAAAGATGTTCCTTATTTGATTACCCCTTGTGTGCCCCTCTGTGTATCTGTGCCCTCGTTTCCCCTCCTTGTGTTTCATTTAATGTTTTCCCCAGCCCGTTATGTCTGTGCTCTCTCTCCTCCTGTCTGAACCTCTGTGTACTTCCTGTTTTACTTTGACAGTCTCTCGTCAGTATGCGTCATGTTGTGTTCACTCCTGCCCTGTCTC